AATTTGGGTCGCGGCTTGATGACCATGTAAAAATGTGGGTCCCATGGCCAAACCAGTTGAGAACCCCTGATCTAGAGGCATTTGCCTTTCATATAAGCCACTTCTGATACCAAATGAACCACTAGAAGTCAAGTTATTATGTGTTGTTCCTAAAACTTGGATAAGCGACAAGACTTTTGTCAGGTAGTGTACACTATCCCTAAACAAAACCAAATATTGTTTACTTTTTGAAACAAAAACAAAAAACTCATTCTGTATGATTTACCTGTATAAGCATTTTAAGAAATGCAGACATCAGCAATGTGCTTATAATTTACCAATTTTCTTGTAATACCTATGCAATTCACTTTATCATTATGTACATTTGGGTCCTGATATGTCACAAAAACATGTACACACACACATGCTCACACACACACTGTAAACACTGACACTGCTGGGTTTCTCTCACAGAATGAGTGGAATGTTCTGAAGGTTGGACACACCCGCTGTTAAAAACACTTGTCTCTCTGTAAAAGCTCTCTAAACAGATGCTACGCCTCCAAACACCTGCTCCAGCTTCTCTTTTGAAGACCTACAGCTTGTTACTTAATCATACATGTAAGTGAAGAGTGATGTAGTTTTAGGGAATGCTAATCTATAGTAGTTCTAGCTAGTAAGATTTTCATTAAATAAAGGGGGTAGTTCACCCAAAAAGGAAAAATCTGTCATCATTTACTCACCCTCAAAAGGGTTCCAAACCTTTAAAACACAAAAGAAGATATTTTGAAGAATGCTGAAAACCTGTAAGCATTGTCTTCCATGGTGTTTGTTATTCCTACTATGGAAATCAATGGTTACAAGTTTTTGTCTATTTTTAAAATATCTTTGTGTGTGTGTGTGGGTTTAACAGAACTCAAAAAGGTTTGGAACATCTTTGAGGGTGAGTAAATAATGAGTAAATTTTCATTTTTGGGTGAACTATTCCTTTCATATAATACTCATAAGTCTGAGCAGTGCCATTTACTGATTAATTGTGAATAAACACATACAAAATAAGAGATGGTGTTGCTAAAATAATTTTTTTTGTGCAGGTGTGCTGTTTATTTTATTTTAATATCTGATGAAGACCTTTAGGTTGAAATGTTGTCCAATTAAATTGTCTTTTAAGATCTAAAGTGGCAGTGTGCTGATTCTGTTTACTCTTTCTATTGTGTCTGGCTCGATCACGCATTTTATCTATTTTGTTGTAGGTTAATGCATGTAATGTATGGTGCTTGCAAATGTAAGGACTATTGTGTGTGTGATCGTGTGGATATATACTTATATTTTGTGTACATGAATGCTTTTATTTCAGTATAAGTGATAAGTTTTTGTGGTCTATTTTAATGCTTTTGTTGTTGTTTGTGAGGCACTTTGAGTTGCATGTATGTTGGAAAAGTGCTATACATATAAAGTTTATTATTATTATTATTAAGTTATTATCAAGCACCTGCCTTTAAGATTTTCTTAGATGCGCACTGATGTCTTTCTTTCTATATATAAATTCAAACATTCATGTATATGGGTAAACACATGTAGAAAATGCTTATTTAAACTAATTATATATGACAAAATAATCTGTAAATATTAATACATGACTATTTTAAATGACTATTAAGTATTATAAATTTGTATTCTACACAAGTATGTGTGTACATTTATTTATACACAATGAATATACACAGTCAATTATGTAAATACAAACTTTTATTTTGTATGCAATTAGTCAGGATTAATAATAATACACACTAAATGGACTTTCAGCGCTCTCCAGCCTCCGGCGCCTAGACTGCAGCTCTGCACAAGATGTTTTGCCATAGGAGAAATGGACATGCCCAACTGAGCCTGGTTTCTCTCAAGGTTTTTTAGTTCTTCACTTTCGCCAATTGGTGAAGTTTTTTCCTCACTGCTTTCGCCACTGGCCTGCATATTTTGGGACCTGTAGAGATGCGCATTGATGGATTTGCTCTTCAGTGTTTGAAATCTCAGCAGTGAATATTAAACCACCCTGAACTAAACTAAACTGAACTTTAACACTGAAAACTGGACTGACAATGATTAGAGTAAATTGATTATAGTTTCAATTTACTATAATCTTCTATGTCAGTGGTTCTCAAACTTTTTTCTATCAAGTACCACCTTAGAAAACATTGTCTCTCCAAGTACCACCAAAATGAGCAGCATTGAAATACCGTAGCGTAGTTGGACCAGTAAAGCAGCTACAACTCTGCACAGTTAAAAAACCTGGCAGATTACCTCAGAAATATAGCCTATATATAATATATGGCATATTATATAAATAATTTTTTATACATTTTGAATTATATGTTGCATGTACATGACATATTTCATTCCTCCGTGTACCACGGAAACCCGCGTACCACTAGGGGTACACGTACAACAGTTTGAGAACCACTGTTCTATGTGAAGCTGCTTTGAGACAATCCACATTGTAAAAGCGCTATAGAAATAAAGATGAATTGAATTAAATTGAACTAAATATTGTTAAGTTTAATCATTTTAAGTGTTTTAATGTTCTTTTTATTTTTTTTTATCCCCATTGGCAAAGAGTTTAACTTAACTTAACTTAACTTAACTTAACTTAACTTAATTTTGGAAATATTTTTTTATTTGTTTTTATATAAAAACATAGTTGAAAATAGTCAATATATGATCTTATTTGTCTTAAAAATATGATATGTTGATACACATTTTGCATCTTTTAATTTAAATGCAAAAACATGTGCCAGAGTGATTTGCAGTTCATTTCACTGTGGGGACCCCTGACAAAGAAGGGAAAAGGCTGAAGGAATGTGAGCGAGTTAGTAAATGCAATGTAAATCCAAAAAGATTTTGTCTTTGAACTGAGCACAAAGAATATTTTTAATATTTGTCATGTGTGGCAGCTTCACATCTTGTACTTGTCTTCATAATTTTACACACTAAAGTGTTTTCCAGTTACACAAAAATGCATGCGCATACTCTTTAATATAGAAAGGAACTTAGTCATTTGGATAAATTATAAACAGTTTTGCCAATAAGACTATTTTTAAACCTAAAGAGACTCTTATGTGTCAGTTTAAGTTTTAATATATGCAGTATATCATTCAGGATGAAACTAGACCCTGGGTGAAGCGTTTGATTTCTTTCTCTCACGGATCAGAGGAATCCAGCTCGACCACTCGACACACCTTGAGGTTTGGATGTTACTGGACGACTGACAAAACTCTTGCCCGTGTCGTGTGTTCAGTGCTGTGCCATTAATCATGTTGAAACATTACACAAAGAAGGCAAAAGCATCGATCAATCATCAAACACTATTAGTGTAGTAGGGATGAAAATGCTATTGATTTTATTATGGGTGTATCAAAATAGAAAAAAACTTAAGCTTATGATATGATAAATGTTATCAAATGTTTACAGTAGAGTTGATGGATAATTGTTTGTATTTTGGATATTGCATATTGCAACTTTTTTATTTTCTGAATAAAAATCGGTAAACAGGTAAGATATTAGAGTTTTTTATTTTTAAAAACAACACAAAGAGGTGCCATGCATTCAGACATGTATGTATATACATTTTTAGACGATCGAAGGGTTAACATTTTTGTGAGGTGGAATAGCCCTGATTTACAAACACAGTAAATGAGAAAATGTATTATTCTATGGCCTATATATACAGTGCAAATGGCCTATTGTCATGCTCTGTATGAACAGTTTTATTTAGAAATGTCAAGATATGTTATCAGACTTTTTTTTAGAATAAAGCAAATGCTAACATTTTACTCAAACCCATACCTAATCCAGACAAACTGAGAATTTTCCAGTAGTCTTAATTAAATTAAATTAAATTAAATTAAATTAAATTAAATTAAATTTATCTTAATTTCATTTCATTTCATTTCATTTCATTTCATTTCATTTCATTTTATTTTATTAACCATTTATTTCATTTAATCAATCAATAATTTAATTTACTTTAATTTATCTTAATTTCATTGAATTTCATTTCATTTCATTTCATTTTATTTTTATTTTATTTTATTTTATTTTATTTTATAAACCATTTATTTAATTTTATCAATCAATAATTAAATTAAATTAAATTAAATTAAATTTAATATTTTTATTGTATTTTCCAAAACATTCCCCAGCTCATATATATATATATATATATATATATATATATATATATATACCATTATAGAATAAAACAAATGTTTACATTTTACTCAAACCCATACATACTAAATCCAGAAAAACTGAGAATTTTCAAGTGGTCTTTAATTAATTAAGTTACTTCTTTATTATTATTATTTTTATTTTACTTTATTTTATTTTTAATAATTTTTATTTTATTTTATAAACTTTTTGTTATATTTTCCAAAATATCACCCACCCCCTTTATGTATATACAGTATATACATGTAAGATACATGCGCAAAAAAATCCACAATGCAAATATTGGAAACATCACAATATTACCACTAACAATGCTAACAACAACTTTGTCTAGGAGGCCTTAAACATTTATGGCCCACACATCATTTAATATTATCTGCTATAAAGAGCATTGTTTAAAAAATAATACAGCTAAATTTGTCTGGTCTGTATTGATCTTTATGGTGTTTTTACATTCTCTTTTTACTAACTATTGACCAAAGTGTGGACTGGATTATATATTCATCGCTAACAGTCTAGTTTAAAGAATTTAACACATACTTATAAAAGTCAACCCTCGTTTCTAAGCACACATGTTGTTGACTTCTTGTGAAAAATGTCTGTCATTTTAACATACTATCTCATATGTGAGAATGTTTTTGGACGTGTGAAGGAAGAGCAGTGTTGATCCTGGAGAGGATTTGTTTACTTAGCTGGTAAATATTAACCCTACAGCATAGCATGGTGTAGCTCAAAAGCTGTGCACTCCTGCTCAAAAATACCCCATTTTTACATTGCAATCATGTTTTATTTTCCAGTCGGAGTTGGTGGAAACTTCAAGCATTCACGAGGAAGTCCTGGACCTAAAGCAACTGAAGAATGGCATCTCCACTGAGATTAAGACCGAAATACAGGAGCCTGTCGCCAAACTGGACAACCGTTTCTTTGGCGAACTCCTTGCCGAAGTTTACCGCAAGAACGTCGATATTCAAACCTGCATTTCTGAGCATGTGGCAAAGATCCGAGGAAGGTAGAGGAGCTTTTGATTATTATTATTTTTTAAAAATGAGCATATCCTTCAGGATTTTACATACAATATTGCGATAAAAAAATGTGACATGAGAACAAAATTGGCACTTTCTGATAAAGTGGCACCAAATATTAAAAAGTCAAATGGAATTTGCTGAGGTAAGAGAAGACACTCTGGTGCTTTTAATTATAGAATAAACTGCGTGTGAATCCCATAAAAGATTTGTACGTAGTATCCATGACAACACCCATAGATTTCTGAAGGGCGCAAATGAAGCTTCAAGTGGGTGTGGCCTACCAGTGCCACTTTGTTCGCGCCACTTTGTTTGATGACTGACTTTGGCGAAGGGATTTTAGAATGAACAAAACAACATTTTTAGATGTCGTGCAATGTGGTCGGTTAATGCTGCTTCATTGCAACCATTTTTGTTATAGAAAAAGTTTTTTTTAAAGATGGCACATTTTAGGGCTGCACAGTATATCGTTTCAGCATCAAAATCGCAATGTGGTCATGCACAAAAGTCACATCGCAGGATATGCTATGTTGAGTTTATATTAGAATCTATTATTTGCATGTGTTTTTGATACCTGTGATATGTATAATTATTTTAAATCAGGTATAAGAAATTTAACCATTCGTGACCTTAATTACGATTAATTTTATTGATCTAAATTTTTTTTATTATTCTGTTACTGTACTTGAATACTGTTAGACTCGATAAAACACTTATTTCAATTGTATTTTCTTGTGTATTAAATGTGTTTTTCTTGATAGTATTTATAGATTGTTATGCATGAAAATACGCACAACACGTGCAAATACAGAAATGAACTGCAAATAGCATTGGGGGGACCCCAAAAAGTTTAAAGATATATTTATAGATATTTTATAGAGATGCAAATAGTAAACATTAATTCATCAATCTTTGACTAAACACGCGCATGAAAATACTTACAACACATGCAAATACAGAAATGAACTGCAAATAGGACAAACAACAACGAAAATGTGTTGGAGGACCCCAAAAATTTTAGAGCATGTTTATCAGATTTTATTGAGATGCACTTCCACTGCGGAATCATCCCAAATTAATCTAACATTGTACATTTCTCCAAATAGAGATACTAAGTCATATAGTCTTCTGGATGAGACGTTAAATTGTGGCCCCGATTCTCTGTGGTCGACAAAAATCCCAGGATGTATTTTAAAAAAGAGTAGGGGTTAAACCCCGGCATCCTGGCCAAATCTGCCCTCCTAACCATCCCCATATCATGATCGGCTTCATCACTCTGTCTCCTCTCCACCAATCAGCTGGTGTGTGGTGTGGTGTTCTGGCGCAATATGGCTGCTGTTGCGCTATTTAGGTGGATGCTACACACTGGTGGTGATGAGGAGATTCCCCCAATGTGCAAAGTGCTTTGAGTGTCCAGAAAGGAATTATATAAATGTAAGGAATTATCAGTTGTTACTATCATATGGTAAAATTGTATTCATATTGCAATGTTAGATTTTTCTGATATTGTGCAGCCCTAGCACACTGCCACTGTTTCAACCTACATATGGTCCTCATTAGGTCACATAGGAAACACAAGAGAGCTCAAGATATAGTCAAACTCTACACATTACACCTACAAACAATAATCAAGAAATCAACAAATGAGTAAGCAAATAAGAAAAACAAAATATATACACACACATACATACAGTACATACATGCATAAACATAAATGAATAAAAAAGATTTGAAGTCAAAATCCAAATTCAAACCCCTGGGCGACAGAGTATTTAATGTTGGAAATTAAAAACTTTCCATCTGCAGTAAAATTTTGTCTATATCAGCACCCCTTAACCTGTTCAATGCCTAAATAGTGTAGTGTCAATTCATTTTCAATTCATTAAAGTGAAGAGCAATAGGATTTCATTGATCATTTAATCGTATAAAACTTTTGTGTTCAGCAATGTGCGTTTTGAAACACGGCTTTCTTTTACGAATTTAAGCTAAACCACAACTACCAGTTTTGTTAGCACATAAACTTTTAAAACAAAATCACATGACTTTTTTGACACGCATGCTGGAATTAATTCAGTAAATGTGTTTCCATTGTAGTTTTATTCATTCATTCATTTTCCTTTAGTGCTTTATTTACCAGCGGTCGCCACAGTGGAAAGAACCGTCAACTATTCCAGCTTACGTTATCGTATTCATACACACACTCATGCACTACGGCCAATTTAGTTAATCCAATTCACCTATACTGCATGTCTTTAGACTTTCGGGGAAACCAAAACATCTGAAGGAAACCCACGGGAACATGGGGAGAACATGCAAACTCTACACAGAAATGCCAACTGGCCCAGCAGGGACTCAAACCAGTGACCTTCTTGCTGTGAGGCAACAGTGCTAACAACTGATCCACTGAGCATCTTGGAATTTTCATTAAGCATTTTTTATGTAATAATAGAAAGTGATGGACACATAGCTACTATGTATCAGTGATGTAAACTATATTTGCAATATGGAGTGTATTTAGAAGTTATAATAAACCCACAAAATGCAAATGCCCTTTTTCTCATACAAACACAGTTAAGATTATACATTCATTCATTTTCCTTCTGCTACGTCCCTTTATTCATCATGTGTTGCCACAGTGGAAGGAACTGCCAACTTATCCAGCATATGTTTTACACAGCGGATGCCCTTCCAGCAGCAACCCAGTACTGGGAAACACCCACACACACTCAAACACACTCATACACTATGGCCAATTGAGTTTATTCAATTCGCCTATAGCGAATGTCTTTGGACTGTGGGGGAAATTAGTGCACTCAAAGGAAATCCACGCCAACACTGGGAGAACATGTAAACTCCATACAGAAATGCCAACTGACCCAGCTGGAGCTCGAACCAGCAACCTTTTTGCTGTGAGGAATCAGTGCTAACCACTGAGCAACTGTGTCACCCCAGTCAGAATTATATTAAATAATATATTTTTTACTTGCTTTGCAATAACAGTGAATGGTGCTCGCGTTTTTGAAGCTCTAAAAAGTGTATTTATCCATCTTTAACGTAATCCGTATGAAAACCATATACAGTTTTAAAAATATTTCGTACAAAAACACATTTCTTTGTTTTCCGAAACCGTTTATTAACTCAGTGGAGTCCTAGTTATTGCTTTTATGTTGGAAAAGAGCCTAAAAATGTTCTTAAAAATGCACAATTAGCTGCTATTTCGAAACAAGGGAGAGATCAGAAAAAGAAAAGAGATCATATCTCCCCTGTCCTTGCTTCATTGCACTGGCTTCCTGTAAAACTCAGAGTTAGTGTGTTTTTCTTTTAACATATAATGCATTTCACAAATCTGCCCTGGTCTGTATCTGTGAACTTATTTGGCCATATACAGCTTGTAGGCCATTAAAGTCGATATGTGCAATGCATTAAGGTCTAATGATCAGTTCCTTTTGTCTTTCCCTTGATCTAGCTGCAAATCATAAGGTTGATGAAGCTTTTTTGTGTCTCCCTTTGAACATCAGGGTTTCTCCATCATTGGATGCTTTTAAATGTAGTTTAAAGACTTTGTTTACTCCCTTGTCTTTGAGTGATGCATATCTGTATTTCAGTTATTACATTTCTTTTCGTACATTTTTAATACAATAGTTTTATTTTTAAAAGTTGATTCAATATTTTATATTTATTCAATATTTATATCGTAAAGCACTTTAACTATCGATCAAGGATGATCAACTACGATTATATAAAATTGTGCTCTATAAATAAAGAATCTACTGTCATCATTTGCTCACTTTTCAAGTCATGAAACTGTTTAGTTGTTTCAGTCACATTTTACAATTAGGTTTCATTAGTTGATATATTTGATAGCGTGAACTACTTATGAACAACACTTATATAGCATTTATTAACCCTTTAGTGTTACTGTAAAATTTAATTAAATGCCTAAAAAAATGCATACACAAACTAAATTGATACGTCAATCAAAAGGGCAAAGTTCAGTGGCCATAGACAACACACTACCGAACACATCATAGTTTTGATTGCTCCAGCAAATAATTTGAAATGATAGCGCTGCATTCCTTGGATGTTTATCGTCATATAAATGGGTTGTGGCCTAAATATTTCAATGAATTGGATTGGCTGGACCCTTTGCAGTTTAATTACACCCTGTTTGTTGAAATGTTATGGATCTGTGGACAGACAGTTTTGTTATTGTTTTTGTGATTATAGGCATTTTGACGAAGACACTAATTGGTACTGCTACTGTATGTTTATTGTGTCTTAAAAAGGTTAGAATAGTTTTAATCACAAGAATCTCAGCTTTTGAAAGATATATGACATGTTTAGTCTTTTTGTGGGAAGCCGTTATATTTAGCGATGTTTCCCCATAAACATGCTATGTACCACAGGTGGAACGTCGGAACGGCAACTGGTTAATCATAGTTCAACATTTACTAATATATTATTAAAATCCAAATTTGTGCTTGTTAACATTAGTTAATGCACAATGACATGAACTAACAATGAACAACATTATTTTCCAATAATTAGCATTACCAAACATGAACAAACACTGTAATAGAATTATTGCTCTTTGTATGTTCATGTTAATAAATGCATTACCTAACATTAACCAATATGACCTTTTTGTAAAGTTTTACACTGTTTTCTGTTGAACACAAAAAATAGTTATATTGAAAAATATCAAAAGCATTCATATTTGCAGCCAGTTTATCAGAAAGTGCCGATTTTATTCACTTAAACTGTGCTTTATTCGTTCATGTTTTATGTTATATTCCATTTTTTACATCTTAGGATGAAAACAGTTTATGATGGCTTGAGGGTGCATAAATTATAAGATAATTGTGGTATTTAATTGTAGTATTCCTTTAATGGAAAATTTGTGAGATTTGCCTGCAGATAAGCTTAAACAGCAGTTAACTCTGTCAAGCACTATCTAGATGATTGAAGGCTTGACACACTTTGAGATAACCTATTACAGGTCATTATCTTAAAGGGAATCTCATCTGTTTACTTTATCTACAATCACTTTCTTGAACGGCTCTTTAGAGTTATCAAAAACCTGAAAGAGCTACGCCTTTTCTAAAGCTGTCTGAAAATTCAGTGATTCATTTTGTGTTAAGAGATTTTGTACTTAACACCTCGGAAATGATTGTGAGAACAGCAACACCTCTTCTGCATTTTTTTTTTTTGGTCAATTTGACTCACTCTGATTGTTCTTTGTCTTGGCAGGAAACACCTTCTAGACTCCACCATTGACTACAAGGTAGGGAGAGGCAAATTTGTCACTTTTTGGAGTGTTTTTTTTTTCTGTTAAATGCCTGTTAAAAGTTTTAATAATGGATGTTTCTAATCCCAAGCATTGACTGCTGGTTAATGATATATACATTTCTATATGCACGTGTGTATATATGCACCCATATGTGTTTTTTTTCATGTGAGAGCATAAAATGACAATTGGTCAAAATATTAAACAAATATATATATATATATATATATATATATATATATATATATATATATATATATATATATATATTTATTTATTATAATTTTTTTATTTCATCATTTATTTAGTGTTGAAAATATACAATAATATTATAACTGTGTTTGGAATAGTCTTTATTTTTTATTGATTATAATCACCTTATTATATCTTAAAATAAATCATCATGATTTTTATTTTTTATTATTAAGCATCAAATAAGGAAATATGCATTAATTATTAATTATTATGAGAAAAACCTCACAAAATCTGTGCATATAAATGTGCATATAAATATAAAAACACATGCAATTATTAGTGAATGAGACTCGGTGACCTATATTGTGCATGTTGATAATTTCTTTTATCATAAATCAGTCAATTAATATATCACACATTGAAGAATTGCGGGTACATTTCAAGCATTTTCCATTAATTCTCCTTAATTTGGAATGAAATACAACAAATAATAATTTACAGTAACTGAATGCATTATTTATCTAAAATATTGCAAATGCTTAAATGTGATAGGGAAGATTTAGTTCTGTTTCTAATTGTTGTTCAACTTAGTGTAAAATGTTATAAACTTCTAGCACAGTTGACAACATTAGAGTTGACATTTTCTATCAGTGTTTTATAGATTGTGATAACTGATTTAACAGTTGACCAGAACGTTGCGACAACCACAAAATTTTTTAAATGTTTCCTTACAGTTTTTTTATCTTTAAAAATGCAAAATGTACCCTCAATTTTCTAATCAATCATCCATAAACACTAAAGTTGTAGGTGTCTGTATTTGTGTGTGAATGCAGATGGAGAAAGAGGAATTTGAGAGTCTCATACCTAAAGGAGTGTCTGAACTGACTAAACAGCAGATCCGCTACCTTCTGCAGGTAAGAGCAGATAAACACATGCCCAATCCCATCAGACCCGCACACACCCCTCAGTTAACCCCACCCACAGACTTTCAGAAACCCCTCCCAGGAACACATGTTCCTTCAGGCACAACGGGCTTCACACTCAATCTGTTCACTTCACAGGAGAGAACAAAAAGAAAAAAAAAACTTTTATATTCTTTAAAGTAAGGGATAGTTCACCCAAAAAATGAAAGTTCTGTCATCATTTACTCACACTCAAGTTGTTTCAAACTGAGTTTCTTTCTTGTGTGGAACATGAAACATATTTGATATTTTGAAGAATGTTGGTAACTGCACTGTAAAAAATATTTTTTAGTTAGCAGTTTTCCATATTTTATTATTACTTAGTTCTTCATATTCATTTATTTGTTCATTCATTTTATTTTCGGCTGAGTCCCTTTATTAATCCAGGGTCGCCACAGCGGAATGAACCACCAACATATCCAGCACATGTTTTACACAGCAGATACCCTTCCAGCTGCAACCCATCCCTGGGAAACATCCATACACACTCATTCACACGCATTCACTACAGACAATTTAGCCTACATAATTCACCTGTATCACGTTGTTGGACTGTTGGGAAAACCGGAGCACCTGGAGGAAACCCACGCGAATGCAGGGGGAACATGCAAACTCCATACAGAAATGCCAACTGACCCAGCCGAGACTCGAACCACCGCCTATTTCTACACATATTATTTCCAACCCAGGCTCATTTTGGAAGCATAGCCCCACAGACGTTTTTGAAGACTGCGAAATATGTCCCGGGAGATATGTATTTGTGCAGTTTTGGTTTTCGAGATTTTGTTTGCGTCCGCGCTGTTCTCGCGTAAAGCCGCCGGAGGCCTCTGTCGAGCGACCGTCTGTCCGACTGACTGACTGAATGATTGACTGGGCGGCCGGCCAATCGGTCGACCCACCCTCCTCCTCCTTCTTCCCTAAACCCAAGCAACGATTTAGAAAAGCCATCCAGAAAAAAAAGCCCTCGTCTGTTTTTGACCGCGTTTTCGGATTTCACCACATTCTCGCCCTGTTTATGTACTCGTTCACTTTTGGAACTTCATTTTTTGGATTCTGTTTTTGTCTTACCTGATTTCTGGAACCGCTCTTCCTCGGACTCGAACCCGGTGGTTGCCGTCGTCGCGGCTGGCTCCCCTCCGGATCTCCGCTCCGCCAATGTACATGATGAGCTAACCGGACAAACTGGTTGCGGCGGGAAAGGCCTCCACACGGAGTTGAGCTATCAGCCGGCGAGCGCGAAGAGAAGCGGCGTCACACCGCCCCGTAGCGTTCACTTGAAAGAATGAAATGCAGCCATACGTACCTCCGGCCACGTAAATCTCCATCTCCAGAACTGTCTGTGGGGCTATGTTTTCAGAATGAGCTTGGGTTGATTATTTCTTATAGATTATATTATTTCTAAATAAAATGTTAATAAAAGTCACTTTGTTAAACTACATAGTTGAATTTTCAACAATGTATGTGGATTGAGCAGAGATCAAGGTCTCATTATGCAATTCACACCTGTAAATAAACGAAAAACAGAAAATACTGAAACTGTTAATGAACAGATATTTTTACAGTGCAGGCAGCATTATCTTTGTATGAGTTCCATTGTAACTACATGCCATCTAATTTTCATTAGAGTATCAGTAGACTTAGATTGGTGTAAGTTGACGTGGACTTGCAAAGTTTTTAGAGTGAGTTAATTGTCTATTGGTAGACTAGTGTCAGCAGATAATAAGACAGTCTACTAATACTCTAATGAAAATTAGTTAGCATCTAATAGTACACAGAATGTGCAATAGGGATCAAAGGAACTGGTTTGGTACTTAAATTTACATTTTTGGGTGAGCTTGTATAAACGATGTGCTGCAAAGTCAACTTTGAGGTCAGACTAAGTGCTTTCTGTAATTAGTTTAAAGACTTAAATTCATATGCAAGTAATAGTTAAACATTTTTTAAACATCAGTATTTTAATTTATAAAACTGGCTAAATATTTTAAAAAAATATGTCTATTAGTTAAAACGTTTGGGTAATAATTTCTTATTCTCTCATTGTCTGAATGGATTTAAATGAATCAAAAACACAGTAAAAAGGCAAACATTGTGAAGGGTTATTAAAATGCAAAGAACTTCCTACTTGAATATTTAAACATTGTAATTTATTCCTGTGATGGCAAAACTGAATATTTTTAGCATCATTACTCCAGTCTTCAGTGTCGCATGATTCATCAGAAATAATTAAATATGCAGATTAGCTGCTAAAAAAACAAGTCTTATTATTATTAATGTTGAATGTGATGTTTTTATAAAAACAGTTATATACTACAGTTTATAAATTTGAGATGAGTAAAAAGAAAATCATACTAACAGTAAAATGTGGTAGTGTTAGTGTGATGGTCTGGGGCTGTTTTGTTGCTTCAGGACCTGGAAGACTTTGATTAAATGGAACCATGATATGCAGCTGTGTACAAAAAATATCCTAAAGGAGAATGTCCGGCCATCTGTTAATGACCTAATGCTGAAGTGAACTTGGGTTATGCAGCAGGACAACTGATCCAAAAGAGTAGCAAGTACACTTCTGAATAGCTGAACAAAGTGAAAATAATCCTGGAGTGGCCTAGTCAAAGTCCTGATCTAAATTCAATTGAGATGCTGTGGCATGACTATAAATAGGTAAAAACCCTCTAATGTGGCTGAACTACACCAATTCTGCATAGATGAGTGGGACAAAATTCCTCCACAGTGCTGTAACAGACTCACTGCAAGTTATCAAAATCATGCATGTTGCCCTTAAAGGTGGCCCAACCAGTTATTAGGTTTAGGGGGCAAACACTTTTTCACACAGGGCTGTGCAATTCTGTATTTTGTTTTTTCCCTCAATAATTAAAACCTTCTATTAAAAACGACATTATGTGTTTACTTGTGTTATCCTGGTCTAATAGTTTAATTACTTTGAAGATCTGAAACAAAGTGTGACAAACATGCAAACAACTAGTAAGAGGGGCATACACTTTTCACACCAATGTACATGGTATTAAATTTACTTTCTCTCTTCTTTCTCTATCATCTAGACTCGTATGACAGCTGATAAGACAATGCATCTGGTGATGACCACATTCAGCAGTCTTCGAGAGGAGCTAGTGCACATGCAGGAGGACCTGAGGGTGAGTAGGATGCTCCTGCCACTGAACCAACTGGCAGCCCTCTGTCCTGTAGGAACAGCCTTCAGTTTCCACTGACGATATAGTACATATCAGATGAGCAGATCAGGTTCTGCTTGTGGGCGTGGGTTTGTTTTACTACCCAGCTTTCAGCTGACCTTGTGTTTTTCAAGGTGTGATGCGTGTATAAACACATTCAAGGGTATGATGATGTAACTGCTGCACAAGAGTTTCCAGCGCTTTAAAATTATGCTAGCTGTATTTTGAGGGTAAAAGTGTTTTATAAAGCATCAATAACAGAGTTGATATTTTATCCCGTTTTGTGCTTTAGCTCAAAATTCTAACCTCAAATCAGATAGTCTTGATATATAATTTTTAACAATATACAATATTTCACAGTAACAAAGTTGACGTATTCATCCACTATTGGTGTGTCCTAAACATTTTGTATGAATTAATGACATTCAAATCTTCCCATCAGAGGAAGTACCATCACTTGGGGGAAGTCGCATGCTTGTTCTAACAGTGCTTTACAGATTGTTATGCCTTTTTATGTAACAGGGTTGACCAGAAAAACACTCAAAAAAAAAAAAAAAGGAACATGGTAGTACAAATAATGTTTCTTAAGAAACAGTTTTGTACCTTTGTAAAAGTTGTACCTGACTGTATATGGTACAGAAAATACCCATTATGAGACTGTTCTGTTCCTTTTATGGTACACTCTCAGAAATAAAGGTATATGCGTTCTGTCACTGCGGTGGTACCTTTTTCGAAAGGTACAATTTTGTACCTAAAAGGTCCATATTAATATCTCAAGGGTCCAAATTAGTAGCTAAAAAGTACAAAAGTGTTCCTTTTAATTTTTTTTCAGGTACTATTATGTATTTTTGAGGTTCAAATATGGACCCTTCAGGTACAAATGTGTACCTTTTGAAAAGGTACCTCCCTTAGTGACAGCTCGCCTACCTTTATGTCTGAGAGTGTGTTCAATTGAAATAAAGGTACACAATTGTTCTCATATAAAAGGTACATAAGTGTTGGACAACTCCTGCTTTATTACAATATCTTTGAAAATAAATATTACAGAAATTATATTAATTTTATTTCTATTTTAACAGTAAGTAAATTAACTTTTAAGTGATTACAAAGGTATTGTGTGAAAATTGGAGAATTCTTTTTTTATATTGTACATATTTTTGTAACTTTTTTTGTGAAGTGTTGTGAATTGTTTTGCAAAAATAGATCTTTGGATTTATGTTAAACTATTTTTTGTTCTCTATTGTCAACGCAAGAGGTGCATTTACATAAAAAGAAACTTTTTAAAAAAACATTGCTTAAAAATGTAGTGGTACCTTCATGGGTCAGATTTGTACCTTAGCTGAAGGTACAATATTCTATCTGCAGGTTTTAAAAACCAAAGGTACATTTTGGTTTCCTATGGTACAAATCATGTCCTTAAAAATACAAAATGCAATGGTACAAATTTGTTTCTTTGTCTTAAGGTACAATTCTGCTCCATAAAAAGGTACTGCCTCAGTGACAAGGATTTGTACCTTCTTTAGTACAACATTGTACCATTTTTTTCTGAGAGTGCAGGAAAAGACACATCTTTTTTTGTAACTAAAAGAACAAATCATACAGAAAATAAATGAAAATTTGACTTTTTTGAATATTTTTTTAATTTTATGGTAATGAATGCCTGCCTTTATTACCATCAGCAGGCATTTGTTAATCAATTTGTGTTGGGAAATCATGAAGGACCTGTGTGAAACCCAGCATTTTTTACATTTTACAATTTACTTCTTTGCAAGTAGTTTGAAAGGGCTTTTAAGAAAAAAACAAAACAAAAAAACCCCCCAAAAAATCTGCTCTCATCCAAAAACAAACACAAGTGTCTTCAGTATTTGCATTCATATTTTAAGCAAAAGGTTAAACAAAAGAAACATTTTCCCCTTTCCTTGCTTATTATTACTAAAGGTGCCAATATATACAGTATATGGAAAGCTTAACTTGAATCATTTACAAACAAGAAGGCTACATCACAAGCATATCACAAAAGGCCAGAATGCTTTGTTGGTACTGCAAAAGGTCACTTCCCAGAACATTCATTTCCTGTTTGACTTCACAAAGCTTTCTGCTCAATTAAACATAAACCATCATAGGATCACCACAATTACATGCGGCAACTTTTCAGTAGGTGAGCCAGCATGGAGCAGACAGAAGCTTTTAATGATTTTAATGAGCAATTATGTCACTGTCTGCATTTGCCATTATCCACCTATTATCTACCTACTTATAACAATTGAAGTTATTTAATAATTACTTAATTAAACTGAGTGTGCAGTCTCTAATAAAGCTAGAAGTACTGCAGTATAGAACTACAATAGGGTGCATTATGCTTGCATGCATTTCTTCTTCTTCTTCTTTTTCTTCTTATTATTAATACCAAATTCAAATAAATATGATTATTGTAATATTTCACTAAAAATATTTCTGAACAATATAAAGTATATCTAAAAGTACACTACTAATATTTATACCTTAATACCTTCATTCGTTTAACTTTATAGACAGGTGTGTAAATAGCAACATGCTTTATTATTATTATTAGTGCTTTTTCTATGGGAAGCTAATAAACAGTCTTCTGTGTTTGAACATGTTATATGAGCCCAAACATAGAATAACCCTAACTCAGAACAGATGCAGATATAAGTTCATGTTGGAGCAGCATACTGTCGCTTTAGGAACTGAAAACACATGAGCATGAGCTGCACTGTAATAAATGTCTTTTTACAGTTGCCAGTAGCTCATGATTAATTTTACTTTCAAAAATGCATTATGGGACTTTGATCTTTGACTACTTATAATGTTTAATAAAAGAAAGTTTCATAAAGTAATTCTTTTTTTTTTAGTAGAAAAAAAAAGTAGTTTGTTGATTGAAACAATTTTATATTTTTAGGTTAGTAATACGTACAGTACTGTGTATTTGTAATGTGTATTTATATAGCGCATTTATTGTGTATGGCCAGTACACTCAGAGCGCTTAACAATAGTGAGGGGGGTCATTCCACACCACCACCAGTGTGAAGCATCCACTTAAATGATGCGACAACAGCCAAAGGACAGCTATTGGTGGAGTGGAAAGACAGTGATAGGCAATTGGGTGGAAGGGGATGATAGGGAGGCCATGATGGGTAAGAACCATTGGAGGGAATTTGGCCAGGACACTGGGGTTACACCTCTACACTTTACGAGAAGTGTCATGGGATTTTTAATGACCACAGAGATTCAGGACCCTGGTTTCCATTTCATCTGAAAGGCGGCACCCACTGACTGTATTTTCGTCCCCTTCACTATAATGGGGCATTAGGACTCACACAGACTGCAGGTTAAGCGAACCTGCTGGCCTCACTAACACCACTTCCAACAACAAGCTAGTTTTCCCTTTGTGTTCTCTTGTCCAAGTACTGACCAGGCTCAGCCCTTTTTAGCTTCAGTGCAATATAATTTATGGCAAAAAAACAAAAACAAAGCAAACTGATAAAAAGCATTCTGTTGATTATTGTTATTATATTATTATTTATATTATTATTATAATTTGATGCATGTTATTTCCTGAACATCTTTTTTTTACTTAAAATGTCAATAAAATTAAATGTTAAATGTCAATAAAATTAAATTAAATGTTAAATGTCAATAAAATTAAATTAAATGTTAAATGTCAATAAAGTTAAATGTTAAATGTCAGTAGAATTAAATGTTAAATGTCCAACATTAGGACCACATTACAATCCCACAATGCCAAACTATGTGAGGCTATTATTTAATATCAAGATTACAATACATTCCCACATTACAAGGTAGATGAAGTGTAGATAAAAAAATCTGTGAATGTATTTTTGTTGAATTGCAAGATGAAGGTGTTTTCCCGCAGATTTGTGACGTTCTTTACTGCTTGTATTTTATTGCAATGAATCATCGTGATTTTGGCATAAGCTCAACGGTTTGTTGGACTGCAAGTGATTTCATCTCTGAGAAAAATGTTTGCGCCAATTGCTGTCTCTGGTGAAAAAAAAAGTGAGCTGTTGCTGCCAGATATTAATTACTACTAATAATATAATATTTGCTGCAAACCTATAATTAAATGAATAAATCAAGAGAAACATTTTTTCAAGCAAAGATAATTTACAGACTTCACTGAAAACATGTATTGATGCGTTTTTGGCATAGACAAAGTGTGCTGGTGCACATTTCTTGTCCACCATTTGTATATGTTGATCCAGGAGCATGCTTAGTGTGGTTTCACCAAGTATTGACATGTTCTTGGATCGACATCTGTGTTGATCCTGGCACACCATTTCAATCTGTCAATCAGATTTAAGGGATGCGTTTACAGCTTACGTATGTTAAGTTTAAGCTTAGATTTAGGGTTATGTGCTCCAGATATGGTGTTTGTTAAAATTTTTGGTCAATCAATATATTAGACAACTTACCCAGTTAAGAAAGTCACAGCTTGTCACGTTACAGTGATTATTGCAGTAGATAGACAGACAGATATAGACAGACAGGGTTATGAGACCTTTTGGTTGTTGATTAAAAAAAATTCAGGGTTGATATATCCTCCTGAGACCCCGCAAATTGACTTGTGTCATCTGTAGTGGACATTGTATTTTCATGACTTTTCTTTGAATCCTTTGAGCTACTCTGTCAAGTCCTGTTGTACTGTTTAGAGGACATCCTGGGCTTTCTAGTGATTTGTCATTTGATTGGCTGGCATGCTGGGAACCAATTCTTTAAAATGGCCGACATACAAAAAAGAACATTTTATGGAAAGGAGAGAGGCATGTATAATTTAGCTTTTTAAATGTTTTTTTTTTTAAACTAATATTATTACATATATATTTGTTTATTAAAGTGTCAGGAACAATACATTTAGCTCACAAAGCTGTTAACTTGTTTGTGTTTAAAAATATCATCCTTTTTTAAATGTTCACTATAGTGGACACCAGGTGTCAAGTTCGAGGTTAGGAAAAGGAGCGAGGACTCAGGTGCAGCAAAAATGGGTTTTTATTAATTATAAAATGAAAACAAAAAGGCAAAACAAACAACCCCGAGGGGGAAAACTCTAATAAAACAAATAAACGAACAAACAAACTTGACTGGACTGGCAGGACTGGCAGGACAAGACAGGGCTGGACACAACAAGACAGGAAACTATCGACGACGAACTGGCAAAGGACTGAAAACATGAGGGGGATTATAAAGCAAAAAGTAAATTGACACACAGGTGAACATGACAAACTAATGAGTAAACAAGGAGGGTGGGACTAAACAATAGACGGGAGAGCGCATGACACAGAGAGACAATACAAGCCATGCGCTCACATAACACAACACTGAAGCACACGACAAAAGCACGTGACCACAATGTAAACACCGAGCCACGTGCTTTGACAAAAGACGCAAGACACGAGCACACGATGAATGAAAACACTCACCGTGCGCTCACACACGCAGCGTGCATGCTTCATCCCAGCGCCGACCAAAACCGAAACCAACAAGACTAAGACGCTGGGAATGAAACACCACGCTGCTGACAGATGAACACAAACACGAGTACAAGAGCGCACGCGTCGCGCGCGTCGCACCCACGACGGCGCGCGCACACACAGAGACAGAAACAGGACCAGACATGGGTTGTGTCCGAGCTCTGCCACCAAAACAAGAATTTACAAGACCAGAGTGGCAGAACCCTGACACCAGGACCATGTTAATGTAATTAATGACTGCACGTTGTAGGAGGCAGAACTAAAGCAGAGAGGATTCTTTATAAGATAGTTGAGAATTAGAGACAATTAGATATTGACAATCAGTTTAAAATTGCTTTTATGTTAAATTTGTTTTGGATTAACGTCACTTCTTTTTTCTTTCTTTTTTTTTGGTGTTCGGCTCTCTTTCAGACTAAACTGTTTCAGGATTTTTTTAATACAAAAGGGAAAAAATGGCTTTTGTTTAGGTTTTGTTACATTAATATTGGATTAAAGTTTGGAGTTTGGCAGTTTCTAACCAAAATGGTCCTGTGTTCCACTACTGTGAACATGCTGTAAATTAAAAAAAGAACAAAATGTTAAAATTCTAAATTGTAGATTTGTTTTTACTTAAATGATGTAGAAAATCACAGCAAAAAAAAAAATTATTTATTTGGGTCTCAGGAGGACATTTATATACATTTTGAAATGTCAACTTTTTGACATCTTTAACCCTTTGTAACGCAAAGAGTTATACATGGTAACTTCATTGACATTGATTATAATTTACTTTTTAATTTTAAAATCATTTTAAAAAGTCTTGTAATAACCCCCAGTAGGAGGATTTTTCAAGTAAGTATTTCAACAAGAGTGTCCTGTAAAGGGTTTAAATTTAAGCTTCTAAATTTTAACCAATTTTAGTGCCTTAAACTTCAACAACTGGCAAAATTGAAAGCATTTCTCCATTGCAAAAGTATGTAAGTCTGTTTTTTATTGCCCTAACCATGCACAATGACATGGTTGGTTGCATTTGGATTTACTGCATGTGTCTTGTTGTGCAGCGTCTGGAGAGCGAGAAGGAGGACCTGGAGAGAGATCTGAACTTTAAAGCAGATCAGGCTCAGCAATATGACAGACTACTGGAGACCGTTCGTGAACAGAACAGACAGCTGCAGGTAGGGGCTCCAGCATGAACTTCACTGTCAACAATGCAAAACTCAATTATGACAATTTTAATAAATCTGGTTTTCTGAATATTTAATAGGGGCATGTTTTCTGAGATCCACCTACAATAGTTTTGACACATAAAAACATAATTTAGAGGTAAAACAGCTATAAAGGCTGTCCTGTTTGACTATTCTTATATTGTCACAGTTTAAATTGGAATTGTAGACTGAAAAGTATATACTGGCTTATGTTATAAGCAAATATCTTTTGCATATTTGACATTTCAGGATTCGAAAATACAACTTCCCCAATATAAATTAAATTGTTCTCCAATATAAAATTTGGTCCCACTTTTTATTAAGTGGCCTTATCTATTCATTCATTCATTCATTTTCTTGTCGGCTTTGTCACTTTATTAATCCGGGGTCGCCACAGCAGAATGAACCGCCAACTTATCCAGCACATTTTTACACATCGGATACCCTTCCAGCCGCAACCCATCTCTGGGAAACATCCACACACTCTCATTCACACACACACACACACACTCATACACTACGGACAATTTAGCCTACTCAATTCACCTGTACCGCATGTCTTTGGACTGTGGGGGAAACCAGAGCACCTGGAGGAAACCCACGTGAACGCAGGGAGAACATGTAAACTCTACACTGAAACGTCAACTGGGCCAAGGCTCGAACCAGCGACCCAGCGATCTTCTTGTTGTGAGGCGACAGCACTACCTACTGCGCCACTACGTCGCCCGGCCTTATCTATTATAGAATTAAATCCAAATATGAACACAATGAACTAAAAATTCTGTATGTCTGTTTGATCATGCTTCAAAGATGGATCCTGCTGTAATTTAATGTAAAAATGCATAAATGTTTAGTATCCATATATATTTATAATCTGTTACAACAGACAATGCAGTTACTCAGACTTGTCTGGTGTGACAAAATCTGGTGTGAAAAAAATATAGCTGTCACATCATTGTCTTGTCATACTTTGATAATCATAATTTGTTTGCAAAATAATCCATGGTAAGCTGTAGGGGTGTACTGTAAAGATTCACTGAACTAATCATTTGATCAAAATCACAATTCAGTTTCCTTACAATATTTTTTAACAAAATGAGATTGAAACATCATTTAGTAAATGAAAAAGTCTCCTTTTATCAGGTTATTGCTGCACGTTTTTTAAAGAAATTGAAAGAATGTATAACAAAACAAAATGTCTTGTTACCTTTGGAGAATCTTTAACCTTTAGTTTCTGCATAGACCTGCATTGGCTTAATAGTATTTACCTGCTGCAGTATGAATCAGTAGGCGGAGCTACAAAGACAGCTATGCAGAAGATTTTGCTTTTCTGAATATGTTGAATTTAGCCACACTATTATATAATAAAGTAGCACATTGTGTACTAATTGGCTCCAATTAACACAGCTTTTAGACAAGCAAGAAAATGTAACAAATAATGAACTTTTATGTTCGTTCAAAAGATGAAGGGCAACTAGCTTTAAAAGATTAGATTGATCTTATAATAATGTTTAAATCTTCCTTCATTCTCTCAGATGTCTTTGAAGGAAAGTAACAATGCTCAGCGGACTTTGGAAAGTCAACTGCTGACCTTCCAGAGCAAAGACCCGACTAAAGACTTCCGCATCAAAGAGTTGGAGGGCAGCAAGAGGGCACTGGAGCAGGAGAACGAGCTGCTCAGGAAGAAGGTGGGCAAACTAAGGGTCAAAGGGAATGTTGGCATCAAACAAATCAAATCTTTTGTTCTCCATTTGTTATGTACAGTACTTAACATTTGAAGTAGTTTAAAAACATTCATCAACCTTGCATCATTGTCTTAAGACAAAACTACACCTGTTCTTGTCTTTACAATTTAACAAAAAAAAAAAAAAAACTCAACTTCAACTTGACTACTGCAACATAAAATAAATAAATAAATAAGTAATTAAATATGTATATGGCAGAGAATGAAATATTTAACCATTGGCATTTGCTATTGGTCAATTTCATATGACTGACAGACCGTCATGCCATTTTACAATTTTTCCTCCCTCCATCACCAAAGAAATTAAATATGAAACATTAAAAGGCATATTACTTTATAAAAAAATTATAATGTTGTGATTAGATAAATTATTTAATATGCTAACTGCAATGTGCTATTTCATGAGGAAAAACATTTAGGGCCTTATCATACACCCAGCGCAATAATGTGCAAGACGTGTTTGGCATGATTTGTAGCTATTTTCAGACCCGCGCAACCCTAATTTTCACGTTTTGTGCCACGTTGTTTAAAAGGCCATGAAACCCCCTCGTTTCAGCAGGGTGTTTTCACACCTCTACTTTGGAAAAAGTCAGAAAAGTGGGCGTGTCCAGCTCTGTTTAGGGGGAGTGTCGGAGGAAGAAAAGAGGCATGGTGTGGGAGTGTCTGTTTGGGCGCGCTGAATTTCAGAGTCAAAACACACACACACAGAGGACAAAGTGACTGTGTTTACATGGACATCTGTAGTCGAATTATTTGCCAAATTATTATATGTTGGACTTTAACTGCAGTTTGGCTCTTTCATTTAGGGAATTCATTCATGTCCCTCGCCACAAACGAGATATTTGATTCGAGGAGCTGCTCTAAGCGTGTATTTTCATGCAATGTTTGATATCGCACGGCGAATGAGAGAAAAAAAAACTCAGCATTTCCCGGAAACTTAGATGCACTTGGCAGGTAGCGTCAGAAAGCCGCGTTTGTTATTCCGGTCACAAAATCCTAAACGAGGTTATAGTTTGATTCTAGTGCTAACTTGTTTACACTCGGTGCAATAGTTTGTTTGATAGGAATAAAACACGAACTGAATAAACAAAGAGCACTCGTCGCTCACTTACCAAATCTGTAGAGACAGGACAATCACCAGCAACTAGAGCCGCGTCTTTATTAAGATGAGACTACAAGCGAATCCGGATCTCAGCGTTTGCAGATGAGAACAGCTCTCAAGTATACAATGTGCCTCCTTAGACACGTAAGTTATTGTTGTCGAGCGTCGCGTACACTGTTAATCCACACGTGACTTCAACTGCACTCTCACAGAGAGAAAATGAAAACAAAACTTAACTGCAGCAAACTATAAAAGCAACACTTCATGCTTGTTTTGCCAACACAACGTGGTGTCTCTGTCGTCTAAACACTATGACAGTAATGAATATTAATAAAGTTGCACAATACAGCGCGCTGATTGGTTTGAACCAAGCCTTACTCATGCATTAATGCATCACACTGTAAGACGTAATAAGACACACTCTGGCACAGACGTCCAGTCTGCACGCTGGAATACACGCTATTATGTCATGACCGTGACGCAGCTTCAAAAATTTGTTTCAAACCGGAAGTACAAATTTGCTTGAAATAATGCAAAAACAACCAATTTACACTTTTTAGTGAAATATAGGTGTCCTAACAGTGTTTTTAGCAGTGTGGGACACATATACGACTGTCAACAGCTCAAAAAATGTGTTTTGGTGTTTCATGACCCTTTAAATAGCAAATCAGTTTGCACCACTTTGTGGACTCATGGGTGGGCTGGTCTAAAATAGAGGTGTGTTAAGGCCAGTGGTGGAAAGAGTACTGAAAAATCATACTCAAGTACCATTACTTGCCTAAAAATGTAGTGCAAGTAGAGTAAAAGTTGTAAATCTGTTGTTAAATATTACTCAAAATATGAGTAAAAAGTAGCCGTTTTAAAAGTACTCATGAGTAGTGAGTATTACGCTGTGAAAAGCTGATGCCTTTACATGTAATTTGTGCATTTGTGTGTAAACGTAACATTCTGTAGTGCATGTAGTTATTGCCCAGCAGTCACACAACATCATAGAACGTTAATATTAGGTTAGATTTAGGTTGTGATGTCATGTGACCAAAATTCAATGTCTAGCAGCATTTAAGTATAACATTATTTTGATTTGCAATAATGACGTCAAATGATGTTGATATTTCGTCGATTTTAGGTTGTTAGAAAGTGACCAAAATCCAATGTCGAGCCAACATCTTGAAACCAACATCATATTGACGTCAAATACTGACATTTATTCCTCAGGTATGGCAACCAAAATCCAGCATCTGATAGATGTCATAGTGGTAACGTCCACACAACTTCAAGCTGTGACATCATTAGACGTTGATATTTGGTTGGTTTTAGGTTGGACATTGACATTGGTATTTGTGTTGAGTTCTGACGTCAACCAGATTTTCATTTTAATTCAATTCACCTTTATTTGTATAGCGCTTTTACAATGTAAATTGTGTCAAAGCAGCTTTATCATAAAGATCATAGTAAATACCAAACAAAATGCAACATCCCCATGACATTGGGGTACAACGTCAATCTGACGTCATGTTGATGTCTTGTGCTTGCTGGGTGTTTAAGGCCATTTCGGTCATTTTACAGCAAACATCTGTCATCTTCTCATCAGTGACATGCATCTAAACAGTCTCTGGGTCAATGCATGTAAAGATTTAGGACATCTTTTTGGACACTTTTAATGCTTCCAAACAGTTTGCTGCTTTTATAAATCCCCCATGTCTTGAGGTAGTTTATTATGATGTGATTTGGAAAAAATAAAGTAGTGACTGCAGGTTGAAGGAAAGTAGTGGAGTAAAAGTATAGATATAGCACTAAAAATGTACTCAAGTGAGAGTAAAAGTACACATTTTTTGAAACTACTTCGTAAATTACAATTCCTGAGAAAAACTACTCAATTACAGTAATTTGAGTATTTGTATTTAGTTACTTTACACCACTGGTTAAGGCACATTGCTGGTGCGTTGTTATTTTTAAGAACTGAAATAAACTGTGCCCTTCACCAAGTCAAAGCAGGTGTAAAGTCCAGCGCAGAGTGGCTAAATATGAGCCTAGTGGGTTCAAATGCTTACACATTGCTTAATACTCATAGGACATACAGCAATACAAAAATAACTTTAAATATGAAAAAATTTAAGCATTAAAATGTTACAAATATTATTATTTTCTACATAAATATAAAAACCACTACCTCCATGCCTCATCTCTGGGGGCTTTTTCAGTTTATTCATGACAATTTGCTTTTGTATAATGTTATATATATATATATATATATATATATATATATATATATATTTGTATAATGTTATATGTATATATATATATTTGTTTTAATAAAAACTAGTTTATATTTGTCTACCTGTTGGGTTTTGGAGACATTTGTATTACCATATGGGGCATAAGAATAGGACATGTGTTTGGATATAATGTTTTTGACCACACTTCATTATTATTGTTCATTTATTAGGTTGTTGGAAATTATAACTGCGTTTAGAAATAGTTTCGAAACAAATCTTAACAAACTAAATTAAATATGTAGGCTAATGCATGTCTTCAGTGGAGTGCATACAACACTGTTTCCTTATACACAAAAGGAGTCAATAGTAAAAGTAAAGAGAAAGTAAAGAGGCTGAATGGAGGAGGCTCGTTCTTAATCCTTGCACAGTTTTCTTGCTAATAAAGCATCCAGTTTTTTCATTTACAAAGTCCGCCATGTAGATAGCAAATGTTCCATGACACAATGCAACTGACTCTAAAAGGGAATGGGAGATGAGACTCTGATTGGTTTAATACTCAAAACACACCTATAACTCATTAAGAGAATAAGCACAACCCCGCTAGACCATGCTCCAGGGTACAAGACATATATATATATATTTTTTTGCATGTTATACTCGAAACACACCCATAACTCATTCAGAGAATAAGCACAACCCAGCTAGACCATGCTCCAGGGTACAAGACATATATATATATTTTTTTTTGCATGTTATACTCGAAACACACCCATAACTCATTCAGAGAATAAGCACAACCCAGCTATACCATGCTCCAGGGTGCAGGGTGTATTTTTTTGCCCTTAAAATAGCAAAAGTGGATTTGGACACGCCCTTAATGCTTTTGCATCATGCATTTTAGACTTTGTGCTTAGATCATTAAAACAGAGCCCCTAATAGTTTCTTTAAAGCCTTAAAAAATTATCTAAAAATATTTACTAACGCAAATATTAATTAAACAATTATATACACTAACAGTATAAAAACTAAAGAAAGGTTTTCTAAATTTTTTTAAAAGATTGTTTGTAACAAATTCTGTTTAATATATTTGGTATATGTTTATTAATTATCTAATAGACATATAAACCTATATGTTTTAGCTGAAACAAGGCTACATTTGGGCTGTCAGTGAAAATCTAATATACAGTACATATACAGAAATGAATCAGTGAAGTCTGCCTAATTTGACGACTAGTCTATTTTGGACCATTAGATGTCCTTTAGATTTCCACTGACAGCCCATATTTAGCCTTGGCGTCTATTAGATGTCTATTAAAGAACAATTGCTTGGTGGAAGCCTGCAAATTACTACATGCAGAACCAGTTAAAAAAAAAAAAAAACTTTGCATATGCATAACACAACTCATAATATGAATGAAAAAGATAACTTATGGTTCATTGAATTTTATCCATCACTGCTCCGATGGTGCTGTTCAGGTTTTCAATGAAAAGAACTGGCTTGGAGTGAGATGTTTGTGACTGTTTGTGAATTAGTCTGCACTAGTCGTACCACATGCTTGTGTGCAGTCAAGTGTGGAGCAAAGAGAATGCATGAGTAAGATGGCAACTCATCACATTCAATTCACACTGCAAACACACAGCTTTTGTGGATGGTCAATCATCTTGTCTCAAATATACATGTTAAAATATATGATGCGCTAGTTTTTATTAAAAGGATTGTTCACTCACAAATGAAAATTCTGTTATGTACTCACTCTTCCCTTGTTTCAAATCTGCTTGAATTTCTATCTTTTGGGAAAAAAGCAGCCATTGACTTCCATAGTATTTTTGTTCCTACTATGGATGTCAGTGGCTGTTTTTTCTAACATTCTGCAGAATATCTTGTTTTGTGTTTAAGAAAAGCCAGATTTTAGAAGGTTTGGTAGAAAAGTTTAGAACCTCTTAAGTGTGCGTAGGTTCATTCTTTTGGGGTTAACTGTGCCTTTAAAAGGGTTTCCATTACACAAAGGAAAGATTCTAGACAAACCTCAGTTTTGCTGTCTTGGTATATCTCCCTTTTCAGTATCAGGGGGGTAAAACTAAACATAATTGTGTGTCCTTTTATTGAATAGGGGTTTAGTTAAAAATTGTCTGTGATAAATGTAATCATAACTACAACTTTTAAAAGAAAAAAGCAATCTCAGTCAATCATGAAGACTGTATAGTTGAGCTCTATTACTTGTACACTGTAATATTAAAGGCTACAATTAACAACAGGCCAACTATTCAGTTGATTTATTATTTATCTAAAGATATAATCATTGCTTCTCAAATAAATATGTATGCGGAAATGTAATTGAGCATCAGGCAGTTTTACCTTACTGTTTAAAAGTAATTAAACATCAGCGAAAAGCACCTGTGAAATGTAATTTAGGCTTCATAACTTGTTTTCATGCCAATGATTTAAATATATTAATTATATACAGTAATTAAGACACCACTTATAGGTTTATTATGTGTTATATAACATATGATGTGTATTATATGTTAATTATTTATATAGAGTTCATCTTAATAGTGAATTATATAAGCTGTGGGCAGTGAATTACTTAAACACGTACATGTAGTGTAAATGTAAATGTCTTTTCCCATTTGAACCAATGATTCAGTAATTACAGAAGACGTGAGATGTTTATTTATGTTTATTTTGTTCCATAACTTGTATTAAAAAGACGGAATTGTGGTGTTTATTAGTGCTCCAATCTGTCAGCAATTATTGTTTTATATTCCTAATAAAATGACCATAATTTAATTATTATTATTATTTTTTTCATCAAAAGTAACATTTTTGGTCCTGATTATGCTACATTACTTGTTTTCACACATAACTTAAATGGAGCTGATTAAAAGATTGATCTTGGCATGTAAGAATCAATACTGATTTATTGAAGATATAAAACACATTGTGTACATTGGCTAAAAGAACACCAAAACAACCACTTACAGTTAAGTTGGTAAGAAAAATACCTTAAAACTTTATATATTACTTTATTACTTATATCACTTTATTTTAATTTATGGCTTTATTTATTATCATTGAATATAAGTAGGCGACGCAGTGGCGCAATAGGTAGTGCTGTCGCCTAACAGCAAGAAGGTCGCTGGTTTGAGCCTCGGCTGGGTCAATTGACATTTCTGTGTGGAGTTTGCATGTTCCCCTTACGTTCGCTTGGGTTTCCTCCGGGTGCTCTGGTTTCCCCAACAGTCCAAAGAAATGCAGTACAGGTGAATTGGGAAGGCTAAAATTGTCCGTAGTGTATGTGTGTGTGTGGATGTTTCCCAGAGATGGGTTGTGGCTGGAAAGGCATCCGCTGAGTAAAAATGTGCTGGAGAAGTTGGCGGTTCATTCCTTTAATAAAGGGACTAAGCCGACAAGAAAATGAATGAATGAATGAATGAATACAAGTATAATTAGCCATCTTGAGAGAACTATAAAACTTTTAAAGTAGGGATTTTGATGTTTGTGTTGATTTCTGGTTTTCTTCTGCACAGTTGGCAGGGCAGTGCAGTAGCTCCACCATCCAGATCAAAACACAAGAGCTGTCCAGAGAGTACGAGAAGATGCTGAATGATCTACGAGAGGAGAAAGACAAAGAACTCAAGAGCCTGCGGGTAAATACAGGAATAAAATACATATGAAAAAAAAACAACAAAGAAAAAAAAAGTTCATCATTAATGTTGTAAACAATTTTGCTGCTTAATATTTATGTGAAAATCATCATTTTTTTTATTTTTATTTGTTTTTACATGATTTTGTGGCGATTTTTTTTTTTTCTGATGGATGAAATTAACACAGGTTTTATGTTTATTTATTTGTGACCCTGCATCACAAAAGCTTATGTTAACTTGTATGGTTGGCAATTGTTAAAATACACTGTACAGTAAGGGTCAAAATGATAAATCTTTTTATTTTATCTTATGTTGTGCCAAAAATTATTAGAATATTATGTTCAGATCATGTTCTATGAATATAAATTGTAAATTTCCTGCCATAAATATATATCAAAACTCAAATTGTGCCTCTGCCAAATATTGTCCCTTCATAACAAAGTCAATATGTAAACAATAGCAAACAACAAATTATTAATATGTAAACAACAAATGTCAATAGTGAACATATTTATTAAACTTTTAGATAATACATACATCTCAATTTCCATAATTTGACACTTATGACTTGTTTTGTGGTCCAGGGTCACGTTTTATGCTGTTATACTGTTAAAATTTAATGTGTTTGCTTATTTATTTAAATTCATTTAAATAAAACTAAATCTTCTCACTAAATAAAATATGAATTTCTTTTTAAAAACCTAAAAACCCTGCATGTGAATGCCAATTTAAACTCCTAAATACTTTCCATCTAACAACTATTAAGTTTTACTTTTTTTTTTTAGTCTCAGCTTATAAAGATTCAGTCAGAGAGCACCATAATACAGACCACCGACACCAGCAGTCTGGAGCTGCGTATCTCTGAGCTTCTGTCCAAACTGGAGCAGCGTGAAAGCGTCATCAGACACCAGGAGGAGGTACGTGATGCAGGCATTAAGTGCTTTGTCAGTGTTGTTGTGTGTGGTTCAGTCATGTCTTGCGGCTGCGCGACATTTTCTTTGATTACGGCTGTCATCAACAAACAAATTTCGACAGCTTGGATGCTTGTGTTGAGGCGGACTCTTCTTTTGTCTATTTAATGCTTGGCATGCTATGTAAAATATTCAGAATTATGCGTTTAGCATTTAAGGAACTAATCATGGAGCCAACTGTGCTTGTACTGTACAAAGACATGTTTATTAGAAAATGTCAAAGCAATCAAAGGGCGTGCCTTCAAAATGATCCAATAGCTGCTTAGACCAAATTTTAAACAGGTTTTAGAAATGAATAGAGCATAAGGAAGAAAACTCAGAATAGAACACCACAACCTTAATTAAACCACAGGTCTAGAAGTGAGTTCCAACCACACAAGACTGCGACACTTTGCGAATGTTTGTTGGAATGATGGATTCAAGAAACACAGAATCACAGAACTATGTTTGTATCGACACAACTTGGGATCTTAGTTGGCTCACGATAGTTTTGGGAAATGCATTCCTGTCCATCATGCACTGTAAAAATGCTTTTCTTGCTTCATTTTTTGTCATTTTTCTAGTCCAAATGTTTTAAAATTCTCAAATCAAAAAGCATTTTCTGGATAAGCAAAAGATATTGCCTAGTTCTTGGAAATAATATGTCAAAAATAAATGAGTTTTTCCCAGAAAACAAACTAAATGTCCTTTTAACATAAGATTATTTTTCTTACTCCATTGGCAGATTATTTTGTTTTGTTTAGGAAAAACTTGCTTAATTTTGTCATATTTTTAAAAACAAGTCAATAGGCCCTATCATATACCTGTAACGACGGGGAGTAACACCAACAACTTGAGGTAAGATCCAATATGCAGGTTTATTCACAGTCAGGCAAGCAATGGTCAAATCAGGTATGAACAGGTATGTGCGGGCAAATCCAGAGTCGTAATCAAGGTACAGGCAATAGGTCGTAAGTCAGGCGGCTAAACAGGATAACACAAGGCTAGGGTCTAAGCACAGATAAACAAGACAAGGCGAAACACATTGTAATTAAGGATGGCTGACGTGAAACTGACGTTTCGACACAGTGTCGAGATCCCGAAGCGCAAGTGTTTCGAAACACTGCACCGAAGCATGATCCGAAACACCCAGGTCACGTGACTAAAGTGTTTCGAAACACTTGGTTACGTGACTAAAGCGATTCAAAGCATTGATCATTTCAGAGGCGTTTCAAGACCCGGAGAATCTGCATTTGACTGGCATGATCAAGAGCATAACTGTGTCTTGTATGGCTTAGTGCAGGGGTTCCCAAACTTATTAGCTTGCGACCCACAAAATAACAATGTTAGTGACTCGCGACCCCCCAATATCCTCTGAGGTGGTTATATATACAGAAACCTTGCATGCAACAGCGCACACACACCAATACACCCAAGTTTATTCTTAGTTTAATGTTAGTTTTCATGTAAATCAGAGCTGTAAATGTGCCAGAAAGTTTAACCTGATATTATAAAACCAATCTGCTGCATCTGACGCCATTGGTGTGTCTTTAAAATTATGTAATTACCCCTGGGGTCGCAATCCAATAGAACTAGTAACTATAAGCTACTGTAGTAACTATATAGTTTATATTCACTATAAACAACAATTTTTCTTTTCAGTAGTTTATTCATAAAGTATGGTAATTCTTATGGTTTAATATAAATAAATACATTTTTGGAAATCACCAGGCGACCCCCCTCTCATTGTCCCGCGACCCCTTGGGGGGTCCCGACCCCCACTTTGAGAACCACTGGCTTAGTGGACCGTGCGTGTGCACTACAGTACTGTGTTACAAATTTGTTTTGGGTTCGAATCCCGACTAGTCCAAATACTCCAAAATCATGATTTTATATATTTTAACCATGTTACTGTTTTATGGTGTAGTCTAGATAGGATACAGCTGCGGATATGCCATCAATTTAGCATCATTTTTGTAAGACTGTAAAACAATAATTCATATTTTTACAGTACTGTGATGGGTTTAGGTTTTGGATAGACGTTAATAAAATACAATGGGAAATTTAATTAATAATATAAGTAATTATTGTTAACTTCTGGCCACAACTGTATCTGATCTAGCAACAACCCTGTTTTACAAATTTATTTACAAAGGTGTTTATTCGTATGTCAGAGCAATGTTGAAACAAAACGATACAATAACAAAGCATTACCAACTGGTATTAAAGCATTTTAAAATAACTGTTTCAACCTGGATTCGAACCCATTTTTCCCGCATGGTGGTCATGAACTCTAATCGCTCGACTAAACCATTTGCAGATTCAAGGCTACAAAGTGGGATTTCATACCCTAATTTGCTCAACTGTTCTTTGCTGAAGCTGTTTCAGTGAAATACAAATAAAATGACCACTAGGTGTCACCGTAGAGTGGTGTTTCGAAACGTTTTGAAGCTTCGACACATTTGCTTCGATAGTTTCAGTGTTTCACGAAGCCTCGCTTTGCCCACCACTAATTGTAATGTTACTGGTACAGCTAACAAAACTCGGCCAACTGGAAGGGTAACAGAGTGATTTAAGTATGGTGTGTTATCAGTCTTTGACAAAGTCAAGCGAGATGAATGAGCAGGCGTGCGTGTCTGGAAGAAGTGCATGTGTGAATAAGTAGTCCTGGGGAATGCGAAAGTTAAGTTCATGATTATAGTGGAAACCAGCGATCTCCTCAGAGCGATCGCTGGTTATCGTAACAATACCCAGTGAAAAATGGCGCAGGTGACGTGATTTGTTGCTATGTTCAAACCAGCGCAACTGTTATTTTCACGTTTTTGCTCCTCGCAATGTTTAAATAGCAAATTCGTTTGTGCCATTTTGTGGACTCATGGGCATGCTGGTCTGAAAAGGAGGTGTGTTAATGCACATTGTTGAAGTGTTGCAATTTTGAGGAACTGAAATATACCACACCATTGACCAACTAAAAGCTAGTCTAAAGTCCATTGCAGAGTTTTTGTAAATTTGAAGAGCGCGTTAGTTACAGTATGTGCCCATGCGGCTCCAAAACACACATTATTTAATACACACAGGATGTACAGCAATACACAAATATCTTTAAATATGAAAAATAGTAAAGGATTCAAATATACATTATTTTCTACATAAATATAAAAATCACTACCTCCATGCATTCTTCACCTCGCGGGGGCTTTGGAATTTGGCTCTGTTGTAGTCCGTTGAGTCATGCCAATTTGCATTTGTATAATGTTCATGTATCATGTCTGTTTCTGTCTGCTCGTGAAGCTATGGTTCTCATTATGAGAGGCGTGATTTAGATCCTAGTTTGGCGGTTTTTCATTTCTTCCATCTTTGCATTACCTCAGCTTCATTACTCTTGAGGAATGTCAATTGAGACCGTCTGACTGACAGATATTGTACCTCTCCACTTTAATACTGCACTTCCTCATTCTCACCATTAACGTTTGTCCATCAGGAGATCAGACGACTCAAACTGCAGAAGACCGACAGCTCCAGCAGCTCCACGAGGACCGTCGTTACCAAGAGGTGTGTGTTTATCGCATACAGTATGAACAGTTGGAATACAGTGTAAAAATGAAATTGCTAAATGGCCATTGTTGGCTCTTTCTTGTCTTAAAACAGATACATGAACCAATACCCCATTTTGGGTCTGCTGAGTGACGATTATCAGTACACTGCTCCTATAAAAGAGGACAGGACTATGGTCATCGAGAGGACAGGAGAGGTCAAGACTCGCATAATCTAGAGTGTGTAAGACTCTATTCTGAATTTTCTTTTCGGCTTAGTCCCTTTATTAATCTGGGGTCACCACAGTGGAATGAACCGCCAACTTATATACGTTTTACGCAGCGGATGCTCCTCCAGCTGCAACCCATCACTGGGAAACATCCATACACACTCATTCACACACATACATTACGGACAATTTAGCCTACCCAATTCACCTGTACCACATGTTTTTGGACTTGTGGGGAAAACCAGAGCACCCGGAGGAAACCCACGCGAACATGGGGAGAACATGCAAACTTCACACAGAAACGCCAACTGATCCAGCTTAGGCTCGAACCAGCGACCTTCTTGCTGTAAGGTGAACGTGCTACCCACTACGCCACCGTGTAAACCCTAATGTTGTCTTTACCTAAACAATCAAGCAAAGTTGACTGAACATTACTTAAAATTTAGCATTTTGGTCAAGTCACCTAAAAATATGAGCTAATTTAACTTATATACAATGAAAATGCATAAACTTAAGATTTTAAGTATAGTAAGCTCAAAATCACAATTAAAAGTGTCCACTAAATGTAAATATATATGTAAATGTAATCCTTGAAAAAAAAGAGGCAGTTTTTAATGTCATCTTGATTGTAAAACTCTAATATGTGCAAGGTCTCTTTTTAATTCTCTTTTTTTTCTTTTAAAAATTTTTTTTCCATGGTATATAACTACACACACAGACACACGCTGAACTGAACAATTTAAATATAATTACCAAACAAAAGACATTTTGAAACAAAAGGGGAATTGCAATGAGGCCGGCAAATACATTGCACCACATTATATACATTATTGCATTCAGTAGATTTAGAAAGCATGGGGCATGGTTAATATAGGTAACTAAAACTAAAAAGCCATACAAAATAATAATTATAAAATAATTGTTGTTATATGAAATAAATAAAGTTAACCATAAATAATTAAATAAGCTAAATGTATAATAAAAATTAATGTGTCTTATTTCAGCTGAAAGTTCAATAGTAAAGTCGCACAACTTTAAATAAAAACTGAAAAATAATCTTTGGATTTGCAAATAATAGTTACAGTATGTGTTTGACTAAATGTTTATTTTAATCACATTTCAAATAAAAAAGTGGATGTGAATAATTAATAAAATTATATCTTATATATCTTAATATATTTTAATATTTTAAAATCATATTGATCTCATAATTTTATCGGTTTAGGTAATAATATATTTTAATTTTGCACTGACACTTTTCCTTGCAAAATTTTTATAAAACTATGAAGACAAGCTTTACTTGTTTTCCATCATGCCACACCTATTGCTGATTATTTATCTTAATGATGTGTTTGTCTGGCAACAGAACACTGAAGTGCTCTGGTCTGTAGTTAATAATAGATTTGTCACTGGGATAGAGGACACATGCTAAATTCTTGGGCAGAAATAAATGATTATAATGTCACTGACCTCTCTTTAATGCAAGCGACCTCATTATTTTACACATAGATGAGAAAACAAAATGACGCAATGAAGCAGAATGCATATTTAATCACATTTGTGCTTAGACAATGGCAAAAAATACCCATTGGACCAGCTATCATTTCTAATACAACACATTCAATGCAATTTGTGCTGGAAGTTGCAACATTTCGGCTGCACATTTCCCTTTTTGCCCAATGTGTTGAGTTGACAGACCTCATAGTCATCTTTTCAGAATGGATGAACCCATTTTTCAAAGTCTCCTTGTTGGGTTTGCTTTCTGGGAAGGAAGCCAGCATGTCTGTATCCATCGAGTATCCACATATTTGCTTCAGAATGAGGGCAGGCTGGGCTGAGATTCAACATTTACTACAAAGAATGTCAGTGGGGTTTGCCAGCAACGTTTTATCATTCAGAAACTGTAGTATACTAGGACTATAGAAAATACACCCTGAAACCTAAAAAAAACTGGCACTTCTTGCGCATTGGAAATCAAAACTGACAATGTTTATATTGCAAGCACACATTCTTTAGGTAGACAATTAACTGAAAATAAATTGTTTTGGTAATTTTTAATATAGTCTGATTTGCTTAAACGTTTAAAGAGGCGGTTCTTCTGTTGACATTAGTTTGATGCCTTTAGCCACAATATTCATAACCATGCCCCTCTTACCATGTGTTTGGTATGAGAGAATGGTTCACTAAAAGTCTCTGCAACTTCTAGTTCATCCAGATTTACACTGATATATTAACCTGAAAGGATGTAATCTAAATTGAAACATAAAGTCCACAATATGAGGTTAAGAATAGAGCCTGACTGATTTTTTGTGACCGATACTGATATCAGGGAGTAAACAAATAATGATATTGTTTATTATAGAATTTTACAGCATATTTTTAAATGCAGTGGTTCTCAAACGTCTACCACTAGTGGTACTCAGGCTTCCTTCTAGTGGTATGTGGAGGAATCGTGGAATAAATTAATTAAAAAATGCATATTATAGTACAGTGCCAGCCAAAAGAACATTTACCTATTCCTGTGTCCAAGTTTTTGGCTACTGCTGTAATACAGTATATACAGTTGAAGTCAGAATTATTAGCCCCCCTGTTTATTTTTTCCCCAATTTCTGTTTAAGGGACAGAAGATTTTGTTCAACACATTTCTAAACATACTAGTTTTAATAACTAATTTCTAATAACTCATTTTTTTTTATCTTTAATGACATAATAATGACAGTATATAATATTTTACTACACATTTTTCAAGACACTTCTATATAGCTTAAAGCACAGGTGTCAAACTCAGTTCCAAAAGGGCCGCAGCTCTGCACAGTTTAGTTCCAACCCTAATTAAACACACCTGATTAAACTAATTGAGTCCTTCAGGCTTGTTTGAAACCTACAAGTAAGTGTGTTGGAGCAGGGTTGGAACTAAACTGTGCAGGGCTTTGGCCCTCCAGGAATTGAGTTTGACACCCCTGGCTTAAAGTGACATTTAAAGGCTTAACTAGGTTGATTAGGTTAACTAGGCAGGTTAGGGTGATTAGGCAAGTTATTGTATTATGATGGTTTGTTCTGTAGACTATCGAAAAAAAAAATTGCTTAAAATGGCTAATAATTTTTTCCTTAAAATGTTTTAAAAAAAAATAATAACTGCTTTTATTCTAACAGAAATAAAACACATAAGACTTTCTCCAGAAGAAAAAATATTATCAGACATACTGTAATAATTACCTTGCTCTGTTAAACATAATTTGGGAAATATTTCAATAAGAAAAAAAAAATTCAGAGGGGGGCTAATAATTCTGACTTCAACTGTACGTAAACATAATATATACAGTACTATACAAAAGTCCTAAACACTATACCAGCTTTGTTGGCCTAAGACTTTTGCACTGTATATAATCAATCAATCTCTTTATTACAAACAAAAAGAAACTATAGGAAATATATACAAAAAAAAACAAAAAAACACCGGCAACAGCACAACATTTCCTCTTCGAGCAAAAGTATGTTTATTGTGGCTTCTTTAGCACCAAGCACAGCTTAAACTGTTTTGCTTTAATTGTCCTGACATTTTCTTAAATAATGTGCTGTTAAATATTAGGCTTATTTTAGCATTTTCCAGAGTTTGTCTATATGTTTTTTTTTCTGTCCAGGTGATATCATACAGCCCCTATAATATTTAGGTCTGGACCTCATGAAGGCCAGTTCATGACTGTTGTGTTTTATCAACATTGTCTTTCGCACGTCTTAAACAATTAAATCAAAATAACTTTCATTTTTTTCCAAACAAAACATAACATCAACTGAAAGATACTTCACCCTGTATAAATCTCAGTAAAATTATATATAATCTACACTTATTTACAAATAATTTACACTTATGACTTATGGTTATTGGGTAATGGGTCATATATACCCACTATACCATCAGGAAAACAACAGATTTAATATTGGCCTAACATTTTGCACAATACTGTATATATAAACATTTTTTTAGAGTATTTATTCAGAAAGCACAGCTTTTCCAAATGTAAACATCTGTAATAAATAAATAATTATAAAGAAAATTACTCTGAGTTGTCATGTTCTATCCTATTATTTATTAATATATATTTTGTTTCTTGCATGTGATGTTCGGGGCTCCGTAATTAGAACAATTAAGTAACAAATAACACAATAAAGAGGAAATTTTGTCATAGAAAGGCTAAAACATTTTCTTGTAAAATGAATTACAATTATGTTTGTTGTTTTTTATAACTAGTCATTTCTAAAGTGTTTGTTTTCTGTTTCTTTCTAACAGGAATTTTGAGGATAATCTTGAGGCTTCCTTGTTTTCCCGTCCTGACTTCCTCTGCATGCAGCCGTCGTCTGCTTCCAGTGCCTCCTATTGGTGGTGGTGACTTTTATCATTTTTAGGCTTTGGAATTGAAAAACACATGAAATTTGAAGCAGTACACTTTATGACACAGCTGATGCTATATTTTTTCATAAGATCTTTCTTTATTGCGATGTAACGTGACTACTGATAGTTATTTTTATATTTTTGTGCTGTCTCTTCATATGATGCGCCACAACCTTTGGCAGACATAAACACTACTGTAAGCATGTGCATATTTGGAGAGAAATTATTTACTGGTATCATATACAGTGCCTTAACTGGAAAAAATTAAGCATCGTTCGTAATGTAAAAGGTGACTTTTGGATTTCTTATTCATTTGGGTATATTAATTATGGAAGTATGTTGTTGTTGTTATGATAATGTCAAAGGTGATACTTTATACACTTAAAAAAGCTATAGATGAATGTAATAGGGGTTGACCACCCATTATGATTTTTCAATGGCAAATGTTTGGGTTCAGTAAGATTTTTTGATGTTTTTGAAATGTTTATTTGATAAAAAAATAATATTTAAAATATTTTGGCATTTGTTATATTATTAACTTTCTATCTCAATCAATTATTTATTTCTGTTATGTAAAGTCATTACTTCATTTCTCAGCGTCATAGAAGTTTCTAATATGATGATTTGGTTGTCAAGAAACATATAGTAGTGTGAATCAAATTATTCACTAAAATGAATTACTTTTGATCAGTGTAATGCATTGTCTCAGGTATGAAAAAAATCTTACTAAACTTAAACTTTTGAAAGGTAATAAGGAATCATTATGGAAAACCCTTTTCCCCCACAGAATAAAAAAAACACAGCATCTCTATCTTAGAATACTAACTTTTTGTTGCAATTCTGAGTTTATGTCTCACAAAATGACTTTTTCCTCAAACAGTTTAAATAATAAACATCTGAATTGTGAAATAATAATAATACAAATCTTCAATCATTATTAGTTTTATCCGACAATTCAGACTTTTGCTCTCCGAATTAATAATGAATGTATTTGCAGTTGACTTTATTTCTTGAGATTGCAAGTTTATAGATTATTGACTCATACTACTTGCATCTTACTAACTTGCATTTCAGAAGTCTTCTCGGTAGGACTTTATAATAACTACACACTATAAATCCTTCACTAAGCGTGAATTCATTATTTGTTAAGCATTAACTTTACATTAATAAACGTCAGTAAACGGTTTATAACTGCAGCTACAAATGCTGTATTCTTGACTTATAAGCACCTATATAATGTATTTAATAATTGTACTTTCATACTTTGTAAATGATTTATATTTCATTACTAAATAAATTATTTCATTATTTACAAACCATTTGTATTTAAGAGTAGTTGAGGGTTTTTAGGATCATTCAGAATGAGTTAGTAAATTATTAATAAACTACTGAAATCAACATTTATACATCTTATTATTCAGGCATATACTAACTAATATGTTAATAAATGCTTTATAAACTTAACTTCATGGAGTTTTGTGACCTAATCTAAAGTGAGGACTATTTATGCTTTATAAATCCCTTATAAATGACTATTAAAGGCTCAGAATCAAATAAACAATAATCTTTGCAATCTTATCTAAAAAGTAAAATTACTGTAAAGTTTAAACATTGCTGAATAACAGGAGTGTCAAAATACAACATAAAATTGGATAAAACAAAAACAATATAATAATTTAACATTATAATATGATGCAATGAATAAACTCTACAGTGATTTTATTTTAGATAAGTTTGCAAAGATTTATTTTTTATTTGAAGTACAGTTTCATTTGTGTATCATTAAATGAATAGAAATGAATAATGTCATTTTTCTTGTTTAGAATTTAACAGAGCCTTTATTTGTCATTTAAAAGGGGTTTAAGCATAAATAGTCCTCACTTTAGATTAGGTCACAAAACTAGATGAAGTTGAGTTAATAAAGCATTTGTTAACATACATAGTAACCCTTAATATATGCCTGAATAATAAGACATAAACGTTGATTTCAATAGTTTATTAATCATTTACTAACTCATTGTGAATAATCCCAAAAATCCTAAACTACTCTTAAATACAAATGGTTTGTAAATAATGCAATACTTCATTTAGTAATGAAAAATAAATCATTAACTAAGTATGAAAGTACAATTATTAAGCACATTATAAATGTGGTTATAAGTCAAGAATACAGAATTTGTAGCTGCAGTTATTAACTGCTTAATAACACTTATTAATGTAGAGTAATGCTTAACAGATAATGAATTCACTATTTGCTAATGCTTAATAAATGATTTATAGTGTGTAGTGTAGTGTTATTATAAAGTGTTACCACATTCTCTATAAATTTGCAGTTGCATGAGTCTAAACGGCAATATACAAATTTACAATTCTGAGAAAAAGGCAGAACTGTGATCATTCATTCTGAGGGGATTTGCATTCATTCATTTTCATTTCGGCTTCGTCCCTTTATTAATCCGGGGTCGCCACAGCGGAATGAACTGCCTGGGGATTTGTGTCTTGTCATAATTGTCTTTTTATTTCTCACAATTCTGCCTTTTTTTCTTGCATTTTTTAACATTTACCAATTCTTATGTTCCCTAAATTTAGTTTCCTTCAAAATCCTGAGTAGTGGCCAAAAGTGATTTCCAGCAAAGGAAACTTTTGTTTATGATCTGCATTTCAGCATTTTCAGCTGTTATGATCAAGGAAACATGCTATTAATAAAATACAAGAGGGAAATCATAAAAAAATGAATAACTGATTAAAGCCACTCCATTTCTTTCTGTACACGCCATTGCTTTCTTTTCTTTTTTTAAATCCATTTTTAGCATATAGTCAAACAAAACCCTTATTCTTTCATAATATATTGTTTGCCTTTTTTGCCAATTAAATACCAAACAAAATTTGTCATATTTTATCTGGTTTTATTCAAATGTACACTCATTAGGCTGCAAATGAAAAAAGTCTGGGATCCATTTTTGATGAAATAACACTGCATTTGAGTCCTCTGCATTTTCAGGTAAGCTGAGAATACAAATGTTTTTGCGCCTTCCACTGTTCTTCATCTATGTGGTCAGTAAGTGACGCGACTTAACTTTCCAGCGTGAGAACAAGAGCATCTTGCAATTTTCCAGTTGTTGAGAATGAATTTGTAGGAGCTCAGCTAGAGGGTCAAGTTTGCTGTCTATCATTTTTTAAATCGATACTGTCATTTGTTGAAACACCTTTGCCATGCTTAACTCAAAATCACTGCTAGTTTCACAGGTTTGGGAAAGAGTTTTCTTCTTGGTTTTCTTTGCAGCATGAGGCATTTACAGAAAAGATTAAAAAAATAAAAAATTAAAGAGCCATTATAAAAAAGTTAAAGGTCAAAAAAGTCAAAAAAGTTGTGTGAAATTATAATTAGTATTTCACTCATTGGTGCGGGAGCATGTACTCGCCCTCAAGTAGTTCTAAACCTTTATAAGTTTCTTTTTTCTGCTGAACACAAAATAATATATTTTGAAGATTTATGGACCCATGGACTTCCATAGTAGGAAAAAAAGACACAATGGATTTCAATGATTACTGGATTCCCCCATGTTTTGGAACAAATTGAGTTTCATTTTTAGTGTATGTTGCAGAATGTGACATACATACATACATACATACATACAAAAAAAATTCTGGAAAGCCTACTTGTCTGCTTTCTTCTTCTTTTGTACAGAGAAGCTGATATCTTGGAGAGGAGCTCCTAAAATAGCTACTAAATAAACCCAAGTCGAAAGTTATTGAACCTAACAAAATTAAGGGACAAAAATCCAATAATAATAATAATAATAATTCCTTACATTTATATAGCACTTTTCTGGGCACTCAAAGTGCTTTACACAGTGGGGGGGGGTCTCCTCATCCACCTCCAGTGTGCAGCATCCACCTGGATGACGCGACGGCAGCCATTTTGCGCCAGACCGCACACCACACACCAGCTGATTGGTGGAGAGGAGACAGTGATGAAGCCAATTGAATATGGGGATGGTTAGGAGGCCATCATGGACAAAGGCCAGTGGGCAGATTTGGCCAGGATGCCGGGGTTAAACCCCTACTCTTTTTCAAAGGACATCCTGGGATTTTTAACGACCACAGAGAGTCGGGACCTTGGTTTAACGTCTCATCCGAAAGACAGCGCTCACTGAGCAGTATAGCGTCCCCGTCAATATACTGGGGCATTAGGACCCACACAGACCACAGGTTGGGCGCCCCCTGCTGGCCTCACTAACACCACTTCCGGCAGCAACCTAGCTTTCCCATGTGGTCTCCCATCCAGGTACTGACCGGGCGCAGCCCTGCTTAGCTTCAGTGGGCGACCATGTGAGAGTTGCAGAGAGCTAGCTGCCGGCCATTTATGAACCTTATGTCAAAATACAAGTGAAAAAAGGATGAAGCAAATGACAAGGGTTTCCAGAAAACTCTTTGAAAAAATTTCTTATAGTTATAACTAGGGATGTAACGGTATTGTAAATACCGTCATACCGCAATATTAAATTTTTTCGATATTACCGAAGTCGCATGACTCGGTAAAACTATAGGTCTTCTGAGAAAATTTGCTCAGGCGAATGAAGCGAACGGGAGGTAGCTGAAACTTCATTTCCCATCAGCCCCGGCGTGGCCATAATCCTTTGCGGTCTGTTGTCGCTACAGATCCAGTAATGCGGAAATGGAGTGTGCTGCTAGTAGCGGAGATGAAAAAAAGATGGAAATGATCGAACCTAAAGCGGGTGTTGTCGCCGCGCGCGTGCTGAATAGCGGTGCTGTCGCGCGCGTTCTGATCAGCTGTGTTGTGGCGCGCGTATTGTAAAGCGCCGAGGGGGGGTTGAGCGTGCATATTCAAGAGAGGTGTTATCGCGCGCCTACTGAAGGGCTGGACTGGACGGAGGTTGTGTCGCGTCGCGGGGGCACTTTTGATCGTTTTGGAAGGGCATTTTCTATCCAAGACTAAAAAGGGCATGTGCACTGCACAGGTTGAGCCCTATGTGTGCACGTGCCTGCAAGTTGGGGAATACGACTAATAACAGTCATGGGGACTGCAGAAACACAGCACACTGTTCAGATTGATGCAGACATTGACTTGTACCGCAAAGAGATCTCTATCTCACTCATGGTTTGTCCTCTCAAGTGGGGGAAAGACAATGCACAACGTTACCCCACTGCTGTCAACATGGGCCAAGTCATATCTCTCTTGTCCCAGAATCCTCAGTCCCAAATGAGAGGGGTTTTTTCTGTTGCAGGGGACATTGTAAATACCCAGAGATACCAGCTTTTACCAGATTATAGTTATATGATCATTTTCCTTTAAACCCATCTCTATCTAAGTGAGTGATTAAATGTTAAATGTGATGAGTTTTTAACAATACTAAATTGAAACTTTATTTTTTTTACATGGTTTAATAATTTTTTGTTATTAAAATTGAAGTTCCTGTTTCAAAGCTAACAGATAGATGGCTAATTTGTATGTCATTGACACTTTTGGCACTTTTTTGGGAGTATTTTCAAAAGTTTTTTTTTTCCTGTAAATGATTCAATAAATACCGTACCGTGACATTCATACCGAGGTATTACCGTACCGTGAAATTCTGATACCGTTACATCCCTAGTTATAACATAAAGTGTGGGCTCGTCCAGGATAAATATGTACAATAACAGGGAAAGCACTGGCAGCTCATTACCCATTTTTCAGTAAATTTTTTTTTGTAGAGCCTAGACAACAACATTTTGAAGATTTATAAACCTGTTGACTTCCATAGTAGGAAAAAAATCCCACAATTACCGGATTCCAGCATGTTTTGGAAC